GGATTTATTTTCAAGCTTTGTTCAAAATTTATTTATTCTTTTTTACACAAGGTAGCCGTGTGAAATTTGAAACTTGGAAATCTTTCATCATAATTTTTCATCAGAATTCTATATCATAACCTCTGTCCTCTCAATCTGAATTTTTAAAATGACAATTAACTGCAAATACAAATTTAAATTGAAAAAAAATCTGAATTTGTAGAGGAAACCTCTATACCGAGTTTATCAGTTCAGTTGTTTATTTATCATGTAAAAAGAATCGACATTAGACACGACTGATAAAGATATTTATCGCGTTAGTTCCGAACGAGCACGGTACGAGTCCGGATCTGCTATTATACAAATAGGGTTCATCCTGGTTTAGGCAAACTTAGTACTTTTAAGTCAACAAGATCGGCGTCATGCCCATTAACAATTTACATAGAAAATGTTAAATTTTCTTTGTAAAAAAAAAAATTAACTGAATATCCATTTAAGATTTGTGTTAGACATGTTGTCTAATAAAAACAACCCGGAGAATAGAGTTTTAAAAATAAGGACAATATACCATTTTTTAGCCAATGCAATTATTTTGTTCTTGATAGTACGAGTCCCCCTCTTTATATGGTGCATTATGTATCTGTGAATCACGCGTGGAAAGGGATGTACAAGCCCTTAATGCTAGGAGGTTGTGCAAATAATGATCAACTTTTACACATACATGCATTAATATGAAAAATGATTCACTGAATGGAGTGAATCCAATAGCTGGCATAAAATCAATGCGCCAATAGAGATTAGCCGTGGTCCAAGGGTTACTCGGGGACGATTCCGGGCTAAATCGATTTTCAACTTCCGCTTTTGCTTTGGTGAAGCGCATGTGCACTCTGTCGTATCGAGTGTAATATGAAATCTACGCAAACTAGCGGCGGATGTGGGTGTGTGTTTCCTGAAACATATAGATTACCAGGCTTCGTGTTTTAAGTTTCAGTATAAGGGCTGTTTAAATCAATATAACTTTTTTTCATTACAATGTTGACGAGGGAAAATAGCCAGTCGCCTCTCCGATTGTTTCTCCTAATTTAAAACCTGTGGGTAATGAACAAGTTTCGAATTTACAACTACTCGATTTTATCCATGTATTCATTTAATATGCCACTGTTATATGCAAATGCTAAATGGGGCCGAAAATTAAATGAAAAATGCTGAAGGACAAACGATTCTACTGTTTAAAGCTAATGATACGAAAACGGATAACTAAATGCTTTCTGAAATGGTTTTGACACTTTGGGGAATGAAATTGAAAATTACCGCGTCAATTTTACGGAAATATCGGCATTTTGTCATAAATTCCCGTCTCAATGTTTCGAAATTCGCCAAGTGATGGTTTTCGAAAAGGAACTTATTATGCAATGGGGGAAGTGCATGTGCATTCCCACAATTAAATTTAATCAATTCTAGCATTGTTGTTGGAATTTTACAAAATAACTGTAGCAATAAAATCAGTGAATGCAAAAAACGTAAATCAGAGAGAGATCTAGAGAGAGAGAGTTTCTTAACAGAAGAAGACTTGAAAAACAATGAATAATTATAGCGAGATTACTATAAAATTCTACTTACGGCGAAATTTTAATAATACGTCGTTTTGCACATGCATTTCAACATTCATTGTTAATCGTTTATCAATTAAAGAAAACTGAAAATCAATTTAGGAACGTATTTCATTAACAAACCAGTGATTTTTTAAAATTTTATTTTGAATATCAAATATACTTTCAAAACAGAAAAAAATCTTTCCATTAAATGGAAGTGTTAATGGCATTTATGTAGAGAAAAATGAATAAACAAAAGGGAATTCATACGATTTATTACTTTCCTGTGGGCATAATGAATAATCAAGTATGAAAAAAAATACCGCCCTCTGTTATTTCCATGCTGAACAATGGAATTTTTTCACCAGTAAATAATCAAGAGTGCACAATTTACATAAGATAGTGACGAAGTCGTTAAGTGTGTTATAATAAATAGCGTTGTTATTCGCTAATAAAGCGGATGGAAATCTAGTTTATTATTTGGATAAGGATAAGCCGAAATAAGTGTACTTCAATATCATATCTAAGAAAGAAAAAATTACGCATAACACCCACGATGAATAATAAGTCCCTCTAAAGACGGGCGTATTAAAACTGAAAATTTAGAATTTTATGAGGACTTCCCCAAAGTTTTATCCATAGAAACATTTACCAGGGCATCCTTTAATTGGACACAAGGATTAAAAGATTCCATGTTTGAGAACACATAATAATAATCACATCAATACATTATCTTGCTTTTTTTTTTATCAAATTAATACAGAAAGAAATGGAAATCTTCAGCATACTGATTAAATTATTTCTTCCTTTTGAGTCGATATTAATTGTGTAGGTTTTCTATTTAAGACAATTTCGTTTTCAAATTAAGTCAATGCCAATTGATTTAACAAATTTTACATAAGAGTGGTTGCGGAAAATAATGTGCATTTTCTTTTAGAAAGATCTGTAATTGTGCTGAAACGCTTTGTGCCTGGACGAAATTAGAATTCAAAGAGATGTTTAGGACATCGACATACTAAGCACTGTGTCTCGGTTTATATACTAGTGGAGTAATCATCGTGGAAATAGAAACACTAGAGAGGGACCAGTGCAGAATCTAGTAACAGATAGATCACGTGGGTGGTAAACTGCACGATTTAAACATCTAATGCATAGGCACGTGCTCCTTTTCTTTTATTCCCTTTGATATCATAAACTGATGTGCATCTGCGCTATACCGTGGTACTAAATATATAATCCTTTTATATTAATAATAATAATATATATATATATATATATATATATATATATATATATATATATATATATATATATATATATATATATATATATATCCACTTACAATGTGGGCAATGCATGATGCATGCTAAATTTCGTAGATTAATCAAATGCTAAATACTTAGAAATTGAATTTAAATAAAAAAAATATGTTATTTTCTTGCTTTGTTCACATTTGACACGAACAGATAGAACGCAAGGAAAAACACAGAGACCAAATCATTAGTAAATCCTCTTCAAATATAAATCAGTTTGCACATTCTTTCGATCCGATAACGGCACATTAGTGAGAGAATTTGCACCGGTTAAAATCTTTGGCAAAGCTTCATACCATCAAGTCGAATAAACGACCAGCAAAACAAACCCTCTCTTACTTCGCAACAAAAATCTATTAAAATGATGCGCAGATAACGTACTAGCGAAGACGTCGTAAAATTGTAATGAAACACTTTTTCCTCCTTGCTTAAGGACGCCGAGTTTCTGCTACGCTGCCGGAATTTCATTGCAATATCTCAAATGAACAAATCAATATATCGTGCCAGAAAAAAAAAGTTCTGCTACAGAGAGAGAGAGAGAGAGAGAGAGAGAGAGAGAGAGAGGAATCTGCGGATTATTTGATTCGAAGTCTTTTGTGCGTTTGAATACTATGCAAGACTTTATCTATCAACGTTACACAGGCGATGATTAGTTTTTCAAGATCTTAATTATACCAAAGTTCGATAAAAATTGTTTTATCAATTTTACTTAAAAAGGGGAAATTGAACAAATCCCGCTGTTAGTTTACTCTCCATATCGTTATTTTCTTCTATTTTTATAGAACAATTCGGGAATTTTTTTTTCCCTTTTTGCGTTTTACCATTCGTGAGTGTCTGTTACTCTTTTGCAATTCGTTAATTTGAAATTGTCATGATCTCTACTGAAATTTGAATTTTCCAGATAAAAATTCAAAGTAGAGGATGACAATTTCAACCAAAAAAAAGAAAAAGAAAAAAAAACACTTTCTAACAAGATAACACAGCAGATGTAGAAGTAGACTTACATCAGATTTAATTTTTGTCTCCTTTTTAATAAAACTGTTTGAGTGGATGACGAGGGGACTGTTGAAAACACTCCCGTAAAACGAATATCAGTTGTCAACATTTCATAAAACTATACCAGGAACCAAATACGTCATCTCAAGTTTACGTTAAGTAGTCCACTTTCTGATACGGAAGCAGGTACTATACATATACTAAAAAAAATTTAAATTTTTTGTCATTTACAAATGCAGTGAAAATCTACTAAGAAAATTTTCAGACGTGTGTCATCAATTTTCAAGGTTAAACTCAAAAGTGCTTTAAAATTGGATTTCCTTTTTGAACTTCATATAAATCTTCCTCCTTTTTTTTAAAAAAAAAAAAAAAAAAAAAGTTTTCATAATTCCTGAAGCATATTGTGCTTCATTTTTTCCGCCTTGCAATATTCATATGTCGAGAAAAATAAACTGCTCTGACTTTTTTTTTCAAGGCAAAATGCACGCACGTTTTAATTCCATACCCTAACGTAGTGATTAAATTATTTAGGTCGTAGCAAGCACAGCATGCATTTTTCACTCTAAATTGACATGCCATTATCTCAAACTCACGTTTAAATTCCACGTTCGAGGCCCCCATTTATCGGGGAAAACATTTACATGCGTGCATGCTTGTAATCTATTACAGAGTGGTGTGCAATCGACGGGAATATTTGTGTCAGCTTGACCAACTTTGCTGTGTGTGTGTGTATTGAATAAAATATCGTCTGCTCTGAGAGTGGGAGGAGCTTCGCTATGGCAGTCTGCCAACGCATTTACATATAGCTGATAAATTAATTACCAATTTACTTTTACCAGAATTAAGTAAATCTTTTGACTGAACGAAATTTAAATAAGGCAATTTTCAACTAAATAAATTTCGTAAAAGTAAAGTGTAACAATCATTTCTTGAATCAGGGGAGAAAGAAATGACTGTGTAAATAAGTTGTCCTTGTATCAAGCGGCCATGTTGAATTGGAGTCGGCAAAGTAAATATCTTTGATACCGATGCATTTTGCATTCATTTATCCATTTTTAGGGTAACAAATGAAACTGATTGTTGTGAAACAATAATTAGAAAAGAATAGACAGTAACTTACCTATATAGTTCTCTTGGTTCCTTTTACGAATTAGCTTGAAATCTACACTTCTCGTCAATTCTATATCGACGGTATATGAAAAACCGTCTGATAACTCAAGCCTGTCACGTGACCTCGTGTAATTTATAAGGGTTTTGCTGAATCGCTTTGAGGCTGTTAATTCTTTTTTCATGGAGACGATTGTAATATCGACAGAAAATTAACACAGCATTCCAGGCACGAATTGATGAAATATTTCTGCCCTTGTCATGTACATGTTGTTAAATTCCCCTAAAAAAATTTCCATGAATGTAAATAACCCAACTTTTTTTTAAAATACAGATTAACCTTAATAATAAAGGTTTCCAAACACAGCAATAATTTACAAGATCTGTGCAATTTAAATTTATAAAAGAACGAGCTTTTAGTTTGTTTTCAAAAAGGACAAAAGGTGTTGTATACTTATATTAGAGCGGGTTTTGTTAGAAAAACTCGACGGAAATATAGGAAACGAGACACTCGGAAGCGCCTTTTGAGTAGAGCATGTTCGCTTTTGCACCTATACTACTATACGTACATCGTGTTCTTAAAACATAAACAGGTCTATATTTATACCTCCTTTTTTGAAAAAATCTAATTTAAACACAGATTTAATGATGAGGATTTTCACCATTCATGTAAAGTTCCGTAAATTAAAAAAAAAAAAAAAAAAAAAAAAAAAAAATTAAAAGAAGTGTTTTAAGACAATTTGATAGAGTACGCAGTCGGGCGTAAATGCATGATTTTGAAAAATAAATAATTCTTTTTCCGTCTTTGTTTTGATATTTCCAACAAACCACATTTGTTACGGAATGCAAAGGCCAAAGGTGTCATAATAACACGTATTATGAGTGCAACAAAAAATTACAGATCTATATTTAACATTCACTTAGTTCATCAGTGCTCATGCACATGCACGTACAAGTGTGTAAAATAGTTCTGCCCTATCGCTGTGCAATTTTGTAGACAGATTTTTCCTTATAAAAAAATTCGCAGTTTTAAGATGAAATTGATTAGATTTATGAAAATAAAATCATTTGAACATTTTGAAGAGCAATTAATTACTTTGAAGTATATATTTATTTTTCCAGCTGTAAACCCTATCATATCTGCCAAAAGGTCCATTACATATATATATATATATATATATATATATATATATATATATATATATATATATATATATATATATATATATATATATATATATATATATATATATATATATAACAAATGTAAGTATACACGTGCGTGAACACGTACATGATGTAAAACCGACAGATTTGACACCTTTTTTACATGTGTAGTTATATCAATCCTATTACGATTTAACAAATACTTCCTCTCATAAAAGATGTCCGAAAATGTCTGAACAGGCGCGAAGTACCGCCTTTAGGTACAGGTGCTAAGTACCGCCTATAGGGTCCATGTGAGAAAAGTTGGAGAGAGATTATAAGCGAGGAATATTGATGTAATATTTATTCTAATCCGGAATACACCTTGTCTGGGTTTAGGCTATAGGATTCTGTTCAGTCCACTGGAAGAGTTACCACTATAGATAACACGGGGGATTAAAGTATCCTTTTTGTATATTTGTATACAGATAAACATCATATGTGACACGAGTTTTGCTATTCTTTTCAATTAGAACTATGGATTTCCCGGTCTAATTAACATATATGTTTTCTTAGCATTATTATTTAATCTTGAGTTTTTTCCCTATTCAGTCAGGAAAATAGCTTTCCAGGTTTCAAATTAAGATTAAAGCTTTTCGGGTTTCTAATTAAGATTGAAGTTTAATCTAAAGTAAAAATATCTTTAGTTTACTTTTCGGAATATTCATATATAAAAACTCCCTTGATGAATCAGGCCCGTAGGAAGCAATTTCACTTTGAGGGGGCACAACCATACATTTTCAGTTGGGGAGGCACTATCAACTACCAAAATTCCTTGACAAGCAAAAAAAAAAAAAAAAAAAGAAAAAAGAAAAAAGGTCATCAGAAGTTATTATTGAGGGGGCACAAACATATAGTAGCTATGTTTTCTATAGTATTCTATATATCGGCAAAATTATTGGGGGGCACGGCCCCCGTCCCCCCCCCCCCCGGTTCCTACGGCCATGTGAATAGAGACATCTAATCCTAGCTAAGAAAAACATAAAATCCTATTTTCAACCTGATATATCGCTTTTAATAATTTTCTTGTCTATGTTAAACAATCTCTTATCCTCCACTTCTTTCTAATAAATGTCTCTTACATTGAACTGTTGACACGCATATATATACATGTATGAGAGGCGCTGATTTGAATAAGCCATGCATCGTTGTTACCATGTCCCGTTCATTGTCCTACGAAGAAAGGGGTCTTGGCGAAATACGCTCAATATAAGCCGTACATTGTATAGCGCGCAGCAGTTCTTATCTAAGTTTGCAAATAAGTCTTTAGCAATAGGGTATAATTTTACCTTGTGCGGGTTGGTAGACCATTTAACCACGCTGTGGTTGACCTAAAAGCCGCAAAGTCTACCTAGGAGACTATCCACAAAAAGCGATATATATGATCTAATCTCGACCAGCATTCTGTGCAAATTATTTACAATTGGATTCACTCGAACAAGCAATGACAAATCGTACAACACATTTTTGTGTATATGTTTCCTTCTATCACACGATGTTTTTTCCCTTATATGTGCGAAGTTATTTTAAGGAATTTTATAGTTAAAAACTATGCATTTTTATTAAACATATTTCGACTTACAAATTAAAAAAATCAAAAGAACGAAAATCAAAACAAATACTAACATGTATATAACAAAAAACATTCAAACAAACAAAAATTACGTTCTGAATTTGACTTTGAATTTTACCTCTGTCAATCTTGTCTTTATAGTGCGGGTGGCCAATCGATGTGTGAATTTTAATAGTGCAAATAAAACGTGATGTCAGGAAAAAGAAAATACCCCATAAAAATTAGCCAGGGTCATCTATATAGATAAACTTTTTCACAGATTAAAAATATGATGTTAAGCTATTTAAAAATCACAGCAAAAATTACAAAAATTGACGCACAGTCTAAAATTTTCTTATAAAGTACTCCTTTGTTGGTTCATTGAAGCTTTTCATATAATTATATACAGAAATTCGGAATAAAAACTGGAATATATTTGAGAAGTTAATATCCTTCTGCATAATAATGAATTATTGTTAAACATACTGGATTTGAGATTTTAATTTCTGTGCACAAAAATTTTTTTGGTGACAAATGCGGCAAAATTGAAGGTAAATATAGGCACATTAAAGTATGTTATAGAACTATTCTTTGATTTATTCGATATTTTTAAACAAATTAAGGTAAACGGATTTTAAATATCTAGGGAAGAAGTCCCGCCTTGTTACTGTTGTATCACATATAGGGTATATGCGATATCTTTCAAATATCTTCAAGGACGTTACGCATTTCTTTCATTTTTACGATTTTATTTAAAAAGCTAATCTGTACTAGAAGAAATGTAAGGTAATTTTTTAGTACGTCCAAGTTTTACAGATTTTACAGCTCACAATTCAAAGATGAAAATTGACAGCAAGTAAAACGATTTTTTTTTCAGGGTAGTTTAAAATCTCATAATGTACTTTGAACAATCCCCCGTTCCTCTACACAATATGAATGAAATATGACTTGTTGGATTTTCAAAAATCTCCTAAAACTTTAAAGAGTAATACTTTTGGACGTTACGATTATTGATTTGATTTAAACATATTGTATTATGTACTGAAACATAAATGGATTGGACAGCAGGCATAGCCTATATAAGCCCTCTCCACGTTACTATTATTAAAGACCTAAAGGGAGAAACAAATATATTTTTCTTGTATTACCGTTAGATTTCCGCCATACGTAATGCTAGAATATTTTTTAAAAATCTGACAATTTTGAATAAATAAAAAAATGATTGATGATAAGAATTTTCTCAAAGCATATTCATGAAACCTAATTCCTAGAACCAGATTTTTTATTTCATATAAATATGTAAAGATTAGATATGTCACATTTTTTTATAATACGAAAAACACATCATTGGTTGGAGAATTTTAGATTAAATTTCGTTAAATGGAATTCAAAGTAAATTTTCCTTGCTTTTTCTTTTGTTGACTAAGACTTACTTATGCAATTGATTTGAATTTACCGAAAATTTTGAAAACAGGTCGGTTATCATTTAAAAAAAAACAAAACATTTCTTTCATTTCCGAAAAATATTTAGATATCCGAAAATTCAAAATGAGATATTCACTGAGGCTTTTAACTGTGACAGAAAAAAAGATTGCAATTGCATTCAGAAGTACGGTGAAGAATAGGAGTATGTAGAGCCGTGTCAAGCCAGCATTCACTGTGGATTAGCCTATAATAAGTACTCTGCGGTGACTGATAAGCAAACTATCATGTTGAAGATATATACGTTTTAATCCAGTTTGAAATTATATTCTGCTCAAAATCGTGAAAAAAGGGGGGGGGGAGTAATATAACCTGGCTCACGAAAAATAATTAAATTTTAAAATCTAGAATTTCGAAAATGATATACATTGTTTTGAGAATTATCTAACAAACCTTTTGGTAATGATATAAAAATAACAAAAAGTTTCGGTAATGCAATATCGATTTTCGGTAATGCAAAACTGCGTCTAATTTACCTTCACTAAACATCTGCTAAATAGTATTTTTCTTTAATAATTAGCTAGTATACTTTTTGTAATGATTTAACAGTATTAAATACACAAACTGTTACTTTAACAAAGGGTAAAGATCGACATTTAATTAACAAAATACACTGTATATAAAATAAACTTTGGAATTAATTATAGTTAACTACATTGTCGTAAATTTTATCTAAAGCCCGAAAGTAATATGTTTTCATGGTTTTTTTTTTCTTTTCTTATTATTTTTCTTCATGACTTCTTGATAATTACTTGTGTCTTTGTCTTAATTTATTTTTTAATGCCCTTTTAATAAATATTTGTTATTATTTCCTCTTCTTATTTATTCATATGTCCTCTTGCTAGTTAACTTAAGCGTTCATAATTTAGCGACCGTCGAAATATGGCTG